GTGAATAATAAATTGAGTTTACTTTTTAAATAATAATTTTCCTTAAGGTCATTGAGTAATTGGATCCAATTATTTAAATACTTTTCCCACAAATAAATGTTTTGTCATGTGCCTTTCACCATCAAATTCTCCAGATCAGATTAGATGGCTCTCTATTGATCTGAAGCTGCCCTTCACATTTATTAACTCTCCAGGTACCCCTCTCAACGGACTAACCAATTGGAATGGAATAACAGAATTTAGTCTCAGCCTTCTTTCTTCTTGCATAGGTAAATCGAATAGGGGGTCAATCAATCATCTATGAAGCGATATAAGATTTGATTAGTGATCAAAGAATATAAGGAGATCTTTTCTCCCGTTCACAGTCTTATAGTTGTTGATGAGGTTCGTGTGGAAGAACAAGTACTTGCATATTTGGAACGTTTGAATTATCGGCGTTCGAAGAATTGAGCGTAACTTTTGCATACGGTGTCTAATTTGGGCCCATAAGCACTTTTCAGAAAGGTAGCGTCCGTTTTGGATTGAACTCACCGCTTTTTCGTGACGTATGATGGATTTTGGCCGTTTGAGATCGTTTGTTGGGTGAAAACCGCATTTCATATTTATTATTTCATCTTTTTTAGTATTTTTTATTTTTGGGTAGCCCAACCCATTTGAGAGCTACTGGCCGAGTAGTTTACCTAATTCTTGTCATATTTAACTCCAAAAAACGTGTGTTTATTTTCTTGGTTGTTGAATAAATAAAAAGTTATTGTTTCTTACATTAATCCGTGAGAGCGAATATTTGTTTGAGTTTGTAGATCAGATCTACATCAATTGTGACTGCAGCTCAACAATGAAAATTATTTCAAATGGATGTTTCTCAATGGTGATCTTTCAAAGTAAGTATATACGCAACCTCCACAATGCACCTTTATGGAATACTTGATTATCGGAAGGTATATATTTGCTTTACTTCCGAAAATTTTCTTGATATTCAGCCAGCTCTTGGAGATGCTAACGTCAGATAAGTATTTCAAGTTTTATCAGCAGAACTTTGTAAATTTTGCGTAAACGGAATGTATTGTCACTGTGTGCAGCAAACTTTATGTCATGCCAATGCCACTATATCTGTTCACAACCATTGTAGTTCCAACGTAGTCATCACTCATCAGGCAATCTGACTGGAGCTTTGGCTTTATTCGTCTCTTCTAACATCCAGGATGGCTTTTAACATTTCTAAGCATTATTGCTCGTGGAGATGCAAGCGAATTTAGCACAACAGAAATTCTTTAAAATGCACGATATCTGCTCTTCACGTTTTAACTAACTTCCTTTTCTTTCAAAAAAAAAATAAAAATAAATAAACACAAGAAGAGAATCTGGAAAGAGTTTTCATGCATAAAATCTGAATTATGTTGTACTCATCCATCTTCATAAGGTTTGTTGATCCCAAAAAATGCCTCAACAGAATCTTGATCGCGTCCTCGTTAGTAGGCAAAGGCTGCCGATCGAGATAAAAGATCCAGCGATCGTTTGCATTTCGACAGTCAAGTCAATAGCCGAACAAAATATAAAGAGTGCTAGAGATGGGGGAGGGGATTTGGTTAGGGTTAGAGAACGTACCTTAAAATAAAATGGATTCACATATTTATAGGAAAATATAAATGGGCTGGATGCGGGTTCCAAGATCAATATGCATTTGGATAATTAAAATAAACCCAATCAATTAATTAGTCAATGCCACGTTGGTCAATGTAAGACCCTCTCTTGTCATGCACATGCCACATAAGGTTATTTATATCATAACTTAACAATTCAAATGTTAACATTATGTTAACCATCAACTAAATCACATTCGAGAAAAAAATCATTTATATTAGAACTTAAAAATTCAAATGGTCAAATACTAGAATTTATCTTTTCTTGTACTTAACAAAGTTCCGATCTTTATTCTCTAGAGTAGATGACCTACATGAAGTCTTCTATGCGTGGTTGATGCTCTTTAAAGCATCATTTCATTCTAGTATACTCAAAATCTTATCTACCTTTATTAAAATCAACCATTACAAATTTTGATGTCATGATCTATCAGAGTTTTCAAGACATTTTATTCTCAACAAACGCCCATTTATGCACAAATTTAATTTTGCATTAACTTTAATTAACGTCTATGATAATTCAACGTTAGGCATAGAGTCTAAAGTTCACTATATTCCTAATCATCGTCCGCAATTCTACTGTTTCACTATCATAAACTTGATTTTATAATGCAAAATTCCATGCGTTCTAAGCGAGAATTACATTAATTTTTTCAACATGAGAACTTCCACTAAATTGGTGAATCAAATACTTCTATGTGAGATTTTTTCTAAATCTTCTAATCACCGAACTATCACTCAACTAACAATCAACATGTCTAAGTAAGAATTTCACTAATTCTATTGATTTTAGCATTTATAATAATACATGAATTAACAGATATCATGTATTCAATTAAATAATTTCATAATATACAATAAAGCATAAATATGTACATTTATCCAATCATGATATGTATCATGATGTAACAAATTAATTTTTCTGGAGGATAACTTCAATTATAATTCAAAAATAAAACTAACATGCTTTAAGTTTTATTTTACAAATTTTCAATCCCATTTAAATCTCTGTTGCAACACAGTTCTAACAAATGAGAAGTGACATCAGAATTTTCATATTTAGCTTGTCATAAAAAAATTTATGTTCCACAAAATATTCACGTGTTCCACATTAGGTCATGTTTTAGATCCATTTATTTATATTGATAAGTACGGAACTTTTCAGCAAGTTCCATAGCATTTGATTTTCTAGCATTCCTTCTAAAGTTGCTATAAATGTGCATAAATTTAACCATATTTGACCAAGCACAAAAAAAATTGGAAACAAGTCACAATGGATCATATAATATAATCAAGACCCACACAACTCATGAACGTATATAAAATGTGGTATTTTAAATACCTTCGAAATATTTTTTATTTAGAAAATGAAACACTTAAAAAAAAATTATTAGGCAAATACCACTTAACAAATATTCTTGACCTTTATAAAACTTTTCAGACTTTAATCGAATCCAAAAAATATTTTTGATTATCTAAGAATTAATTTTAATTGCACATAAGAGAAAATCAAGAATATTTGAGGGACTAATTTGCAAATTTCTAAATTCCATTTGTAAAGTCAAACAATAGTTTTATTTGACTTTTCAACTTTTTAATTATTTTTAATTTAATAAAAAAAAGTGGGGCTCTGAACGTACATTACATGCCCATTTGTTGTGCTCATTCAATGGAAAAAATTTCGTGGATTCGTTCCTTTAATCAATTTTGACGTTTTAAGTTCATCTGTATGGCCAAATTTTATAATATCAACTTTTAATACTGTGTTCTGAACCCAAATAGGAACCAAGACTAAAAAATGGGGCAAACATTACTGCTCATCATTAAAAGAAAAGATAGAATTTTCAGATTTTTATCAAAAAAGATAGAATTTTCAGATTTTTATCAATACTTCGACAGGTCATAACTTTTTCATTCCAAGACCAAAATTTATATTTGATATATCGTTAGAAAGGTCTCGAGAAGATCTATCCATCCAACCATATCAAATGAACATCACGAGACATAGTATGGAAGAAAATATCATGTGATAAAGTTTCAGATTTTATCGTTTTTCACGCAAAAAATAAAAATAAATTTACTCATCTAAACTTCGGGAGGTTATAACTTCTTTATTCTAAGGCCAAAATTTTATGTTCTTTATATTGTTAGAAAGGTATTGAGAAGATCTATCCAGTCATATCAAATAGACATCATGAAACACATTGTGGAAGAAGTTATCATGTGATGAAATTTCTAATATTACAAATTTTCATACAAAACTCATCCAAATTTCAAAATCTCATAACTTCTTCGTTTTAAGTCCAAAACTTCAATTCTATATATGGTTGGAAAGCTTGTGAGAAGACATTTCTAAACTAATCTTACTGCATAATTATTAACGTACTAAAAGCAAGAAATTATCAAATTATGCGACTAAATACCGCATAATGTTTCAAAATTTTGCATACAAGATTTATAACCCAATTGTATCATGTAATGACATATTTAAGCATGAATTACAATAAGGAATTAAACATTATGGCTCTGATACCAATGCAGAAAATCGCAACATAATTTGACATGAATTTTGGGTCTTACTTTAAATAATGAATTCCAAGATCTTTGTGTAGTCGAATCACTTTGCTATCCAAGGATCAAAATCTGCATTTTCTTACTCCAATGGTCCCAATCATAATCATAATGGAGGGAGATTATTATTCACAATCTAAGTTCAAATTTTTGTGAGATTTCATTCTAAAAAAATGATTATAAGGACTTTCCAATTTTGGTGTGAATTTTCAAATTCAAACCACTCCCTCCAACCGTTTAAAATTCTTGCGGGTCATCGGGTCACCCCACATAGATGACCCATTACCCGTATTTTTCAACATCTACATTGCTGAAAAACTTTAATACCGAGGATATGCTCAATTTTTTCCTGAGATTTATTTTTCTTTTTACTGCTTAGCTTGTTGGAACTTCTGGTTTCTGGATTTGGAGCAATGAAACGTTAAACATTCAAGTTCTAAGTGCATCACTCTTCTCATTTTCCGGTGTATGAACAGATCGCAAGCAAAGATTTTACACGTTTCCTTTCCATAATTGCTTACCATGGCCATGCATGCATGCTTTGAAAGTTGACGCCCACACAAGCCATGTCGGAATGTGATTGGAGTTGGAAGATGGGGGCCAGAAATGGTAAAAGAAGAATATTTTCTATTCATGCAATAAGGATGAGCCTCTGTTGTTACTGCAGCAAGTATGCATGTTCAAGCTAACCAGGAAATTAAAAAGAAAAAAGGAAAAAGAGTTAACATTAACATTGCAGTTATATCTACACTAACATTAATCTACACATTTCAGTTTCATTGTAATCTTATTACATCATGGGTTTGTTCATTCTTTTGATGGTATTCATATCATCAGCCACTGCCATAGACACTCCACCAAGAAACCAAGACATGACCACAGCCATTGAAGAAATGCAGAGAGCCAATTACTTCACATTTGTAATGCTCATAAACATGGCCCCTTCTGACCTTATTCATGGCAACGTAACTTTCTTGATGCCTAACGACCGGACTCTTTCGAAAGCCCTGATGCCAGAGAACACGGTGGTCGACTTCTTGCTCCGCCACTCAATCCCTTCGCCCCTTCTTATGGAACACCTCCTGCATTTCCCCACAGGTTCCTTGATCCCAACATCTAGACCAGGGTTTGTCCTCCAAGTTTCAAATGACGGTCGAAGCCGGTTTTTTCTTAACAATGTTAGAATTATTAGTCCTAATATTTGCACTCGAGGATCTTCAATAAGATGCCATGGCATAGATGGAGTAATACAGGCCACATCAATTATGCCCCTGCCTAACATAGCCCCACCTGCTTGTCCTAATAACAGTACACAAGGAGGTGCTCCGGTGGCTTCAACGGCCCCATTTCCGCCATCTCCAGAACCTTTGGCTCAGGTTCCGGTGATGGCTCCACCACCAGCTGATTCAAATATTAGTCCACCAAAATCCCATTCTCCTCGGATATGCAGTACAGGAGTATTTGATTTGATAATGGCATTTTTTATGCAACTTTTTTTTATCTAACAGTTCATAATAGGTATATCACACTGGGTGATGCTCAAATTAACAAGGAAAATCAAATCTATACGTAAAGTTTGGATGCTTAAATGAAAAAGTCGAAACCGATTTCTTATTTCACTATGATTATAAAAAATTCAATCCTTTTCTTATTTAAATTTTCCTTGTTCGCTTATTTATAATATATTTTTGTTTATTTTACTACAACGAAAAATGGTCTTTTTCCAAAATTTAATGTCTTGTTTTACACAGAAAATTTTTAAAAAGCAAATAAATCACTCCCAAAATATTTATGGTGAGAAACAAATGGTTGATACCCTGAAAACAAATTCATGCAACCATATTGAAATGCGTTTTCCCATCATAAATGTTATTTTATTACTTCATCTTTTATGCATATATTAAACTATTCAAAGTTGATCGTGTATTACACGTTATTCTAAAATACTTTAAAAGTGATCTAAAAGTAATATTTGATACCAATTTGTTGGAGGATTTGATGAGTCTCGAATGATTTTAAAAAATAAAATATAGCATAGAAATTTAAGAGAAGAAAATTGTACTCTCAAAACTCAATTTCCACGATTCAATTTTTTTGTAATGATGAAATAATATAAATGAGCAATATTTTTATATTACATTTGATACATAAAAATTAATTGTTAATAAATAAATTTAAGCACCCATTAAAATTTTTTGATACATGAATATGAATAAACTCATCTTTAATAACTCTAAATTCATATAATTTAAGATTCATCAAGTGAAAATTCATTGAATCTAGATTAATATGAATGTTAATTAATTGAGAATTAATAACACAAATTTCATAAACGACAATAATTATATAGTATTTATTACATATCGAAAAACAAAAAGTGATGTATTATTGAAATAATTGAATTGTAGGGGATTAAATTTAAAATTGTCCAAAAAATGATTCTCCCTTGGTACTTTAATATATATTATAGATTACAGATAACGTATGTATTTCTTTGTTACCTAATTCAAGTTGGTTGAAGGAGTAAATGCATCTCCAATAAGTAAAAATAAACGAACAAATAAATATGGAATGTCATGTACCACACATCGACTACCTATAGCCACTCATTGTCACACCTACCTTCCAAATTTTATATCATAATCATAAATAAATGGAATTTTGGTATGTTTCTGCAGGATAAAAAAAAAAAAACAAAATAAAAAAAAAATTAATGCTTATCGAAAGCGTAATCAATTCAGTGGCTTATCTGGAAACTACGTGCTTGCATTTATCCCTTATTCTTGTACACATTCGTTTGAATGTTGTTTCAATTAATGATATCGACTCGAAACAAATTAATGGTTAACGGAGGAAACAAGATTTAATCAAATGTAAGAAAAATTATATAAGCAAATAAAAACCAATTTTGGTGTGAATCAACATTTATAGTTGCGGATTGGTTGATTCTTAAGTGATTTTTGGAATTCTAAAGTTCGAGTTTAGCCTATTACCCGATTTTCAGTCTAATTAAACATCATCTTGTTTGAATGTAGTAGTAATTACACCCACCCACTCCCCATTCCCACAAAATAATAATAATAATAATAATAATAATAATAATAATAATAATAATAATAATAATAATAATAAAATAACCGTATATATAATAGTTCAAAACATTATATAAGGACATCTAGTACAACTGAATAAACATCAAGATCCTATAGATTAAGCACACATTTCAATTGTGACCACATGAAGCATTCATCTATATTCACATGAACCATTCATCTTATGCATAATCGATAGACGGAAACAAAATCTCAACTTGTAGGGTTATTAATGTTTTCTGGTTAAATCAACCAGTTCGATACAACATGTAATATCGATAATATTAAAATATTGTTTTAAATTATTCTGGATAATCGTTTGTAAAGGTGTTCTTTTACAATCCATATATATGCATGCCATTGAAAACACGTTTTTGTCATATTTTATGTGATTGAATGTAAAAACACTTGAACATGTGCCTATAATTGACCGAGGACGTGCATGGATCATAAATAGAAGAGACGTGCCTTATTGCAAGAAAACAAATGAAGGGGTAGGCGCCCATTTTCACACGGCTCCCTTCAAGAAAACAAAATTCTACCTAAACATGTTATCACACACTTTTGTAACATCCTGAGTCTCGAAATGGGCACCGCTACTTACCTTCATAATTTTTATATATACATTTCACTCTATATACATTCCCGTTAAAGCATTAAAAAATTATTATTTTCGTCCACGTCAAATTTCAATATTGTCCTTATTAAATTCATTCATTTAAACATTATAAATCCATATAAATTTTATATATTCATCCCATTACAAATATATTCCTAATACAATTTAAAAAATTTAAAAAATCACTATATTCATCCAATCACTATCAACATTTAATTTTGTTTTTACTTTTCATTTTCTATATTGTCATATAGGTGTTTTAATGTTTAGTTACAAAGGTTAGCAAATTTCTTTTCTTGAATTTATAGGATTCTATCAAAATTATATTGCTCAAGCAACCAAATAAATCTCTCCTCAAATCATATGTTAATCAAATATTTATTTTTTCCTGTTTTACCTTATAGGCTCATAATTTTGGTTGTTTGTGTTTCAAGCGATAACTTTAAGTTTGTTTCCTTTTGTAATATATGAATATTTGGAGAAGTATTGAAATTTATTTTGAAATTTCTTGTATATTTTTATCAGTCAAACCAATACTTAAAAAAACATAAAAAATAATATTTCATTTTTTATATCATGAAAGAATTATAACTCTAATAATGTGCTGATTTTTTATTTTTTATTTTTAAATTTTTGTTGAAGAAGATATTTTATGATTAGGATTTTATGATTTTAGATGAAGATGGTATTTTATTATTATTATTAGAATTTTAGTTAAACACAAACTCTAAAAGAATATAAAAATATTTAAAAGAATTTATGAAAATAAATATTAATGAATGAAGTTAGAACGGCTTTTTTTATTTAATTTTATGTATGTTTATTCTAGCAAATTTGTATAAGATAAAAAATATAATAAAATTATATTTTTAAAAGTGGATGTATATATAAAAACAAAAATGCTACCATACACTTTTTTTTGTCAGCCCTCTCATAAGACATGAAGCTCACGATTCTTTTAGTTGTGGGCCCTACCTTAGAATGTAAAAAGACTGTCTGTATCTTAGCATTTCTCGTATAAAAACTATAAATGTAAATAGTGGTGCCCTTAATTTAATCAAGTGAATGCTTTAAATAAATTGCAATTTGGACCTCAACTTATTGCATAAGTAGTTAGCTAGTTCCAAGCATTTAAAATTTTATTATTTTTCATTGTAATTGTACAATTAGTCCTAGTTATGATATCATATTCCAAATTGTTGAATAGTCAATCACATGTCCAACGTTACAAAACTAAATTTTGCTTCCCATCATAGATCAATGCTTAGAAATTTAACAACGTAAGCCCCGATTTTGAGCTCCATTTTTTCAAAAATGATTTAAAAAAAAATTATTTTCAACCACACATTCTCATAAAATAATATTATATGTAAATCATAAACTTTTCTAATTTTTTAATAATATATTTTTTCCAAAAATCATTATTCTAAAGCACATTTTCCTTTGAAAATCTCATTTTAATGGAGTTTAAACGGGGACTTTTCATCTTTTAAAATGAATTGAACACCAACATACTCCTTTTAAAAAATTTAGGACTAACTTGATTCTATGACAATGTTTGGGGACCAGTATTGAAACTTTCCCAAGAGGAAAATAAGGTGGTAGGTAAGGACGATGGCTGGTGAGAAAGGGGTTGATGAGGCGTTCATTCCACCTCAGGATCTACCCCACTACCATTCTCCTCCGCATACACACTCATTCTCCTACCTAACCCCCATTTGTCCTCGTATTTATCTCACTTGCACTTCTTTCAAGTACTACCTGTTTTTCTTATATTCTTCTTTTAGTGTCACCCTCTTGAAACTCCACCGATTAATCTTCGCTAAATTTGAAAATTCAGAATCGATACCTACCTACTCTACATTCCAAAACCCAAAACTTTTTGAGTTTGATCAAGAAACATGTTATCGGTAGCTTCTGTTGAAACCCAAAATTCAGAGCTTTCTTCTTTAGGTTCACCCCAAAAACCACAGACCCAATCTTCTGAAGAAACCCACGTTTTCATTTCAAAATTGCCCCAAATCCCCATTTCAAATCATCTTCCTCTCCACGCTTATTGTTTTGAGGATCTTGCACAATATCCAGACAGACCATGTCTTATAATGGGGAACGGTGGTAAAACATACTCTTTTTCAGAAACCCATCTCGTCTGTCGAAAAACCGCCGCCGGTTTGTCGATCCTCGGCGTAAAAAAGGGGGATGTGATTATGGTTCTGTTACAAAACTGTGCTGAATTTGTTTTTACTTTCATGGGGGCTTCAATGATTGGTGCAGTCACCACTACGGCCAATCCGTTCTATACAAGTTCGGAAATTTTCAAGCAATTCGGTGCTTCTAAAGCTAAACTGATTATAACTCAATCGCAGTACGTGTGTAAGTTGCGGGATCAAGGACAGGATTACCCAAAACTCGGAGAAGATTTCACTGTAATCACCATTGATGATCCGCCGGAGAATTGCTTACATTTCTCAGTACTTTCTGAAGCAAATGAGAATGACATTCCATCGGTTTGTGTTGATCCGAATGACCCAGTTGCTCTTCCATTTTCATCTGGAACCACAGGTTTGCCTAAAGGTGTGATCTTGACTCACAAGAGCTTGATCACAAGTGTGGCTCAGCAAGTAGATGGAGAGAATCCCAATTTGTACTTGAAGTCAGATGATGTGGTTCTGTGTGTTCTTCCATTGTTTCACATTTACTCATTGAATTCTGTGCTTTTGTGCTCTCTGAGGGCCGGTGCCGGTGTCCTGCTAATGCAAAAATTCGAGATTGGGTCTTTGTTAGAACTAATACAGAGGCACCGTGTGTCAGTGGCGGCTGTGGTGCCGCCGCTAGTCCTAGCGTTGGCCAAAAATCCAATGGTGGACAAGTTCGACTTGAGTTCGATTCGTGTGGTGCTGTCAGGGGCCGCCCCGCTAGGGAAGGATCTCGAAACCGCCCTTAGGAACAGAGTCCCACAGGCCATTTTCGGTCAGGTAACCCGTACCACCATTGTTAATGTCATGTGTGATTGTATGATTTATATACACGATGAGATATTAGGTCCTTTAACCAAATGAAAAATCAAAATAAAATAAAATTGTCTGCTCTCTTTTTAACGCCTCGTCTATATGTTTTCAATCATATAACTCTATTACGTACAAGTATTATTATTCTCGTGTAACCATAAATTTTACATTTCTTTCATCCATGTGAATTGTGAGTTACACCACAAATTGGACCATTTGGGTGAGTAGGTGGCCAATTTTTTCGTGCATGAACAATTATTACCTGTATTTATTAATTATTTAGTGCAGTCAAAATTAATTAAGTGAAAAGTAGTTGCAGTCTTGTAGATGTGAGTGGTGAATAACAAAAAGAGGTACCGCGCACCACAAATTTATATGAGAGATCTTTCAGATTGTTGCAAGCAAATTCCTGACCCACATGTAGAATGATCACCAAAGGTGTCCAAATAATTTTTTTTTTCTAGGAGTTGTTGTCATCTAATTTGAGAAAAAATCTGTATTTTATGTGATTTAACACAGCTGAAAACTATAGAGTAGAGGTAAATTCGTTCACACATAAGCTACACACACATTGTTCTCGATTTGGTTAAATTTACTAGATCCATGTGGGCGTAGGGTACAATTTACAGTTAAAAGAGTTTGTTTATGGACCATTACCTGTTTTGTGCAACTGAACTTAAGCTGTCAAATTCTAAGATTATGTGTAACAATTTTACGGCTTGGATGTAGGGTTATGGCATGACGGAGGCCGGTCCGGTACTATCAATGTCCCCAGCATTCGCTAAGCAACCAATGCCGACCAAATCAGGCTCATGTGGCAATGTCGTTAGAAATGCTGAACTCAAGGTTGTAGATCCTGAATCCGGATCATCCCTTCCTCGTAACCAGCCTGGAGAAATTTGCATCCGTGGACCTCAAATCATGAAAGGTAAATTAATTGGCTAGCTAGGTAGTTGGTACATACTTTTTACATTCGAAACAAAAAATTTTATTATCATGTTGTCGCAGGATATTTGAATGATGTTGAGGCTACTGCCAACACCATTGATGTCGACGGCTGGCTCCATACGGGTGACGTCGGTTATGTGGACGATGATGATGATGTATTCATTGTCGATCGGGTGAAAGAACTCATAAAATTTAAAGGCTTCCAGGCATGTTCCTTCAATTAAACTCTCACATTTTTCGTATCATTACTCTATTATGCCCGTACATGTGATTCATGCTCGTGACAAACATATGTAGGTGCCACCGGCCGAGCTTGAGGCACTTCTTGTCAGCCACCCGAATATTGCTGATGCTGCAGTTGTACCGTAAGTTCATATTTAGTTTACTCCCGGCCCCCATTCGAAGTTTTCAAACGACAACGAGAACAGAGATAATATGACGTAATATATGGTTCCGAAACAGGCAAAAAGATGAAGCTGCTGGTGAAGTTCCAGTAGCATTCGTGGTTCGATCAAATGGATTTGAACTTACCGAAGAAGCTGTTAAAGAATTCATTGCAAAACAGGTATATGTGGTAAAATTCTACCATGTCTACGTGCATTATAGCTTGATGACTAGCAACACAATTGTGTATGTTTTATTTTGGCAGGTGGTTTTTTACAAGAAATTGCACAAAGTGTACTTTATACATTCGATTCCCAAGTCTCCCGCTGGTAAAATTCTAAGGAAAGATTTGAGAGCCAAACTCACCACAACATCATCGTAATTATCTATGAATCTCGCAGTTTAAAGTCAATTATGGTTTTTTTTTTTTTTTCTTCGATGCCGTTTAAGTGGTATCATTTGTTTTTTCGACATAAACCACATTGTTTGAAATCTCTTTATTTTGTAATTTTTGCTTCTTTTATCAGTTGCTTGAATGTAATATCTGTTGTATTTGTCAAATTTTTCTATCAATAATTGAATGTACTTTTCTATAAAAGTTATATTTGACATTGTATTTTGTTTTATAAAGTTCGATTCTAAATTCACTTGCAACTTTTTAGCTTGAAAAATCGAAGATCACGTGTCTCCTAATATAATAGAGTATAAGTTCATGCCAAGATCGAGGTCTGGCTGGGGTAATTCTACTTATGAACTTAACGCGTTTATTGTTAAGATAAATATATTATTGTTCATGTAAAACACAAACGTACAAAATCGTTGATAAGTAATGGATTTAGTGAGTTGAGAGTATCGTCCCATAGGGAATAACTTTCAATTTAAGATTAATGGTTATGTATGAAATTTGAATTATGTAAACAAAAGAAAATTTGATTTTGTAATTATTCTAAAATTAATCTAAGAAAATGGTAAAATTAGGATTTTTATCAAATATGGATTATAGTATTGAATCTATGATCCATCTATTGCTATTTATTTCAATTCTTGATTAATAATCTAGTTCCTTTCAAGTGACAATTGATAAAATCATAATATCTAATTTTCTTTTCCAATACAAATTAAATATATTCTAATCACGACCCGAATATATTTCTAATCCGAATTCGAATGGTTAGAATGCATTAAAGCTTAGGAGTCTCCCAACACTCCAAGCAACTAATTAGTTAATTTATGGCCAAACAATTAAATAATACAATGGATATGCAAAATTAATCCAAAAACACAATAAATATTAAACTACCAGTCTTGAATTATAAATAAATAACAAATAGAGTTCATCTTCATCCAATACAAAAGCGGATCTACCCTAACATATTAATATATAATTTACAAGAAGAATAATAGAAACATATCAATTGGATCATGAAATAATTCAAAAGATGTTGATCTTCAAGTCCAACATTGAATTATT